GACAGGGGAGCAGGGATGGGGGAGCAGGGACAGGGGAGGAGGGACAAGGGAGTAGGTAGGAATTCTGAAAAACCAAAGAAGTAGAAACATTATTTGCTTCTCTCTTAAAATGTTGGGTGGGAGCCTCTGTCCTCTGCTTTCTAGGTTTGGACGATACTCTGTAGGATATGATGTCCAGTACTGATTGAACCGTCCTGTGTGCAAGCTTCACACACCCTCAGGGGGGTCCCTGACAGGGATGCTGGGCGACCTGCTAAGCCACACCTGTCCCGCCCCACCCCAGGTGAGCACGGTTCTGTGCAGACGGTGGGGTACTTACCCGTTCGGGCACCTAGGGCAGCGGGAGCCCACTTCGCACCTCAACCTGTGTGAAAAGCCAGGAGAGGTTAGGGTTCCCCTCTTCCTTGGTTTTATGGGGGAAAACATATGGAAAAGAGCAAGCTGAAATGTGAGTTTCAATTATGATAATCAAGCCAAAACCAGGCTGAAAATTCTGGGACCGTAAATGAAGGTGGGAGTACTTCAGAGTGCAGGGCTGGTCCCGGGGTGCGGGAGGGGTGAGAAAGCAGGGGCAGTGACCGTGGGCTCTGTGTGAGCAGGTCCTGGAGGGGGGGCGCTTCCGTGCTTCAAGGGTCAGCTTGGTCCCTCTGTTTTTACAGGCTTGGCCCTTGGGTATCCTGGTTTTCCTCCCTTGCCTTTAGGATGTGTCGTATCTTTAAAAATAAGAGGGCGCACACCGTCTCAGCCAGCTGGCATGGGGGCCGGAGGGGGGCTCTGTCCCTGGAGGCCACCCCTCGCCCTGCACTCTTCCCAGCAGCAGGTGAGGGGGGCTCACCGTTGGCAGAGGGGGCGAGGGGAAAGCCGGCCGTGGGAGCCCTCCTCCCGCCACAGCAGATGCACCAGGTTTTCTCAGTGTCTAAAGGTCGGCCTAAATGAGCCAAAGGGGGAAGGTGGACTCTGAGGAGGGATGGACAGTCACACCCACAGAGGGAGGCCCACAAATGTGGCCTCCTGGGGAGGCCCTCCCATCCCGAGGCCACATGGTGGGGCGGAGGGGGGGGGGCGTTGAGCAGGAATCCCCTGACGGGGCCACAGGGCCCTGGGGCTCCCTCTGGATGGGACCCAGGTGTGGGGGAGGCTCACGCCAGACGTCGTGAGCAGGACCCTCCTGCAGGACTCAGGACTACAAAGAGGACCCTGGTGGGCGTGATGTCTCTGCTGTGATGTGGCCTTGAGCACAGTTACACTCGCGACACTGAAAGCGACAGGCAGAGAGGCTGAATCAGAGCTAACCCTCATCTGGCATCACAGACCTGAGAGCTGAGGGGCTCAGACCAGCCACCGTGTTCTGCGCTCGGACCCCTCCCCATCAGGCAGTGGGTTAAGGGGCTGGCACCTCCCAGAGGAGGCACCTGGAGCCGTGAAGCCGACATCTCTGGTAAGGGAGGGGAGAAGGAGCGGACTGTACCCCAACCTCCCAAAATGTCTCAACACGGCATTAATGGGGCAGCATCTGAGCCCAAGGCTTTCCCTGGTGGTGGGAGGTGGGGGGGCAGGGGCTTCCCAGAGGAGGAGATGCCAGGGCTGGGAGTTCCTTGGACAGGTCACCATGTGCGGTGTCAAAGGCAGGCAGATACCCACTGCTGGGAAAGCCTTTCCCCTGGGGCGAGCGTCCGGGGCCCTGGCGGAGGGGACTTGCCAAGTGCCGCTGGAAAGCTCTACCAGTCGATTTAAATCAGCCTGAGAGCACAGCCCTACTTCGAGGGCTGGTCCTAAGCCCTGGTGGGAGTTGGATGAGGCGCCCCCGCAGCCCGTGAGCAGCTGGCCCGACTGAGCCCCACTCCAGGGACCACCGCTGAGGGATAAAGACTGGGTCGGGGACTCGGAGGGCCTTGACGTGTTGTCCCGGGAGCTGGTGCGGTCAGATGTCAGACCTCCTGCCCCAGCCCTTGGTCTTGCTCACTGAGGTGTGGGAAACACAGACACACATGGATTTTTTTAGAGAGAGAGCGTGCGTGGGGTGGGAGGAGGGGCAGAGGGAGAGAGAGAGAGAGAACCTCCAGCAGGCTCCGCACCCGGCATTGCTGAGATCAGGATCTGAGCTGAAACCAGGAGTCGTCACTTACCAGCTGAGCCTCCCAGGCGCCCTTACAGAGGCACATTTTGAATTACTCCCAGGACACTGGTCCACACAACACAGACCAAATTTGTTCCATAAAGCAAATTGCCAAGAAAACTTGATACAAAGTATTTCCTACACTGGAAACCTGAGAGAAGTCTGGGGCGGGCACAAGGGGCTTTGTCCCCTGCGGGGACACCGGTCCCCTGCATCTATCCCTGTGCTGAGCCTGGTGTGGGGAGGGAGGACCAGAGCATAGGAAACAAGGCTGCGGCCCCCAGCCTCCCAGCCGTGAGGACAGGACCCAGGGCGTCGGCTTTGAGACCGTGACTGAGTGGGTTAGGGACACGGTGACGCAGGCAATACGTAGCAGCACGTTAGTTACACAGCATTTCTGTGTTTTCTACACAAGGTACTGGCTCTAAAAACCCCAGCCTCGTGGTGTTATTGCTGGTCAGAAATGAAGAAAGACTGGGCAGAAAATACTCCATGTGGCCTTGTCCCCAGCAGCGGGTCTGGCTGCCGCCCCAGGGGACTCACACTCACTTTGCGTCCGTCGCGGCCGAGACGTCCACCCTGTGCCTCGCCCTCAGGGACACGTTCTTCACTTTCGTCTCTGCCACAGGAGGTAGGAGGACAGGCACCACAACGCAGAACAGCGAGAGCCGAGGGGGCAGGACTGTCCCTGACGGCGCTTTCCTCTTCTGTCCGAACAGGAATTTTAGTTTTCCTTGAAACTGCATTGTCTGGTGTTTGAAAGACAGAAACGAAGGCGTGTCCACAGGGCCAATCAGCGACACTGCCTGAGAACGCAGGACGCACACTCTCAGGACAGAAACGTGGAGATGAATCTTATCCTGAGTCACTAAGGAGACACAAACCAAGGATTCCTCCATGCTTGGCCTGCGGGGGATGGGAATGTCCCAGGGCCTTCAGAGCGAGTCACAGTTTCTCTGCGGTCTTGGGAATATCCTTTAATGGAGAAGTGTGTGCTCGTGTATGCACTCCTGGGTGTTCAGGAGTGGGAACCTTGCCCAGCGAGCACTAGTGTGCGTGGCCATGAGCGGTCACTGGCCCCCCCAGAGCCAGCCACCAGCTCTTCCAGCTTTAACTCTCCATTTCAGACTGTCCAATGACGATGGAGCTTAGGGACAACTTGATTTTATCTGGAGTATACAGAGTGAGTTAAACAGCCAACAAGTAATTTAGGGGTTTGTGATAAAAGAAAATAAAAGCTCTTTCCACAGTGGAAAAGTTAATCTAAATTACTAAGTGCCTTCAGGGCATTTCTGCCCGTGATGGAAGAATGACCCCACAATGTGCCCCCCCCATCCGTCCAGCCCTCCAACCCTCCATCCCTCCCTCTCTCCGTCCCTGCATCTACCCGTCCATCCCGCCATCCATCCACTTACCCCCATCCATCCCTAACCTCCCATTATCCATCGTCCATCTGCCCACGTGTCTATGGATTTACTGAATGAACAAACATTTGCCGAGCACCTACTGCTTGCCCGTCACGTGCTTGCGGCGAGAACGCAAGCTGTGCGCTGGGACGTGCTCACCAGAGAAAAAAGACCTGCCGTGCAATGTCTGCCGGTTTCTTTGGGGGAAATATGCCTATCATGGCTGATTTTAAGCTATCAAGTAAACGTCAACTGGACCTCTAAATTCCTGAGTACCGGTGGGCTCTCACGGGCAGCCTGAGCCAGTCTGGGTGGTCGTACCACTGTCACCCAACTGTGGCAAGAGGGTGGCTTCCATAGTCACAGAGGAACGCCAGGAGGAGCTGTGGGTCATGCACACTGGCTTGTTCTCAGTGCGTCCCTTGTGAACGCCTGAGCCCTTTGCAAGTGTGTGCAGTAACAGATTTCATGGATTAGTATCATTGCACATTTTCAGACAAATTTCTTTTGCTTGTTTCCTGTATTCAGTGCATTGTTTTTTAGTTTCATTTTATCCTATATTCTAATTTTTTCTTGATTGTATAGTAAAATCTCTCCAATTTCATTCCTCTGGAGATAAGAATTTCCAATGTACCAGGAATGGGTTATCCAATTTTAAAAAGTGCACATCCCTTATAATGCAGTAAATAGTAACTATACTAGTTTCTACAAAATTCAGAACAAAATATTAGCAAAATAAAAGACCTTAAGGTCAGCAATCCCCTAAAGAAGAGACGAGCAGTCCCTGTGTGCACGGAGGCAGCAGGCCCGGGAGCACAGAGCAGGGGAAAAGCTGCTCGTCTGGCGAAGGCCCTGGTGTGCACGGAAAGGCCTGCAGAAGTGGACGGTGTTCGGGCCTCTGCTGTAGGGCTGAGCCTTCCCGGGGGGGCCCCAGAGACATCGCCACTGTCACCCCCAGTGACCTTCTTCACTGTCCCCTCGGATCAGGAGAATAAACGCAGGGAACATGAAGCGGCCCGTGTACTGCAGGATGGCTGAGGCGCGAGACGGCCATCGGGGGCCACCGCCAAGGCAGCCTGGAGCGACTTCCTGAGTGGCCGCCGCTCTGGCCAAGTGCAGAGAAACCTGGCGGGCCGCCTGGCCTCAGCGGGTGAGCCGGGACTCTGGAAGTGCAGCGGGTCCACCGATGACCTCTAGTGTGGGGAGGGGTCGGCCACGAGGCCCAGGGACGAGCACACGTGGAGGCGGAGGGGGTCTTGCGTCCCGGGGAAGATCCGCACGGCCGCCCACTCCCGCGGTCAGCGGAGCAGAAGCCCGGGGAGGCCGCGCGAGAACCCGCAGCAGGGACAGCGTCGGCGCTGACGTCTGGGGGGCGGGTGTGCAAGGGAAGGACACTGTGCCTCTCGTTCTCCGCTCCTGAGGTGACTGGATACGCACCACCTGCGCGCGGCGCTTTTATTTAAGACAAAAGGCCGAGAGGAGCGGGTCCGGGGAAAGCACGGCCGGGCGGCCGCCGAGGCCTTCCGCGAACCCACCCCGCGGGACCCTGGTCTGCGGGGCCTGACTCGGGCGCGCGCTTCCGACGGCCGCTGCGGGTTAGGGTTGGGGCCCCGCAGGCCCGGAGAAGGCCGGCCCGGAGCCAGACGACGGGGGAAGCGCGGGCGACCGCAGCGGCCAGCGGGCAGCACGGCCACGGGCGGCGCGGGCAGCGGAGGACCCCCTCCGGCCACGCGGGCCCGCGGGGCTTCCAGAGCCGCTCGAAGACCGTCCAGAGCGGCGCCCACCGCCCTCCGGCTCCGGCCGAGCCCCTGCGGGACACCCGCAGCCCGGCCCGGCGCAGCAGAGCACGGAGGGGGCAGCAGGACCCGGCTCAGGGTGACAGCGACGCCGGAGGGGCCCAGAGTCCAGGTGGGGCCGGAGGTCGTGGTGTGGGTCTGCGGGAGGGGCCCGGGGAGGGAGGGGGTGCTGAGGGCGCAGCGGGGCGCCGTCGAGCGGACCCCCCAGGCGGTCAGGTGGGCTGGGACGCGCCCCTCCCCCGTGCCCCCGGGGGCCGGAGGAGTCGGGCAGAGGGAAAGCCCAGGGGTCCGCCGGCAAGACCAGAGGCTGAAAGCCGCAGGCCGCGCAGGGGCGAGGGCGCACGCCAGGCCGCGGGGCGCGCAGCGCAAGCGTCCCTCAAGGGGCCGCGAGGGAGGGGCCGCGAGGGAGGGGCTCCGCGGCCGGGAGACCCCGCGCGGATCGGGCCGCCAGGGGGCGCGCACTCACCAGGAAGCCCGAGGTGCTGTCCAGCAGGCAGCGCACGCGGCACACGAAGCAGCGCGTCAGGAAGGCCGAGAAGTCCACGGGCGCGTCCGCGCCTCCCTCCTGCGCGCGCAGCAGCCTCTCCAGGACGGCGTCCTCTGCGGCCCGGCGGAGAGACCCGCGGTGAGCGCGCTGCGCTCCGACCGGCTCGCCCGCGCGCCCGGGGCCGGGTGGGGGGGGGCGCTCACGGCCACACGGGAGCGCGCGCGGCCACACACGGGGCTTTCCCACGCCACTCCCGTCCGCGCGCCGCCATCGCCGCGCACAGCCTCGCACGCACCCTGACCCAGAGCCTCCACACACGCTTCCGAAACGACACACACCCCACCTCCCACGCCACTCCCCACACGCCCTGACTCTCGCACACCACCGCGCACACACCACCGCACACACACATCCTGCCTCTCACTCACCCCGCTGCACACATCCATGTACACCCCCCCGCACACACACCGCACCTCACACACACACACCGCACCTCACACACACACATCACCACACACCACACCTGCCTACCACATCCCCCACACCCACTCCCTCCACGTGCACACACACGCCTGCCGCACACGCCTGCCCGCCGTCGCACGCGCGCACACACCCACCCCTGCACCTCTCCCTGTGCTCCCCGCCGGCCCTCATCCCGAGAGCGCGCGCTGCCCGGACAAAGTCGGCCGCCGCGGTCCTCTGCCCGGAAGCGCCACCTCAGCGCGCGCGTGCAGGGCTGCGGCCCGGCCGTCCCCCCCGCTTGGGTCTCAGAAGGTACTGCACACGGGCCCCGGCTTTTCTCTCGCGCTCAGCTTTGTGAGGGAAATCAGGCCGTCGCCCGAGACTGTGCTGGAAGCCCTTCTTGACCTGCTTACAACTTCGCGGGGCGTGCGGGAGAGCTGGGAGCCCCCGGGGGCACTGCCCCGCCCCTCCGTCGCCCGCCTGCGCCACGACCGCTCAGGGACAGGGACGCCGGCCGCAGCTGTCGGGACGGCGCAAGGGCCGTGGGCTTGGACGAACCACTTCGCGGGGGGCTTGCCCGCAAGGGGCGAGGTCTCCGAGCGGACAGTAACCCGTAGGCCTTTTTTCAGGTAAACCTACTACGGCCCAAAGGAGTTTGCTGGAAGTCGTGCGTCTGGAGGGGAATTCGCAAAAGGAGAGCCCAGTACTGCGGCTGCTCCGAGGTGCTGCGCGGGAGCCGGACAGCGGCGTGGGCAGCCCGCGGCGCTGCGGCTTCTCCCCGGAAGCGGACAAGGCCCCGCGCTACGCTCAGGAGCGCGCACGCCGACGTCTCCCGGGGGCACGCGCGCGCCTCGCGCAGCTCGGCCTGGGCCCTGCCCGCGGAGGCCCAGAGACCCACCTGTGTCCGCGGGCGGCGGCTGCCCGCACGCCGCCCGGGGGGGGTCCATGGCCCAGTGCAGCTGGCGGCAGAAGTCCTGGCGGTCGTCCACGTGGATGTAGTCGTAGACGTTCTGGTGCATCACGTCCGTCTGCAACGGGGCAACACCGCTTCAGGGCGGGCGTCTGCGTGCCCGTGAGTCGGAACCGCGACCCCGCGGCGGCCGCGAAGACGCGTTGCGGGGGCGAAAGGCAGGGCTTCGGCGTCTGACTCCTGCGAGGGCCCCCGCCCCCGCCCCCCTCGCGCAGGCCGTGCTCTCGGGGCGGAACAGGAGGCTCAGAGGCCGAACACCTTGGGGGTCCAGGGCACCCGCTTTCCCCCAGGACTCGGAGAGCTCCCCAGGCCGTGCGTTCACGAGGCCCGACGAACAGAAGGCCATTGGGGAAGCATCGCTGAGGAGTGAGGTGGGAGCGGCCAGCGGCGCAGGGAACCCTCCGAGCACATGAGAGCCTTGCCAGGCCTCCCGGCCAGTGACCTCCTTCGTCCCAGCACCTCCAGGCCCCGCGGCTGCTTCCTTCCACGATGCCGCGAGGACCCGCCGGCTTCCCGCCCTCTCTCTAGTCCCTTGTCCTCTCACCTGCTTGAGCCCTGAACACAGAGGCCGACCCTCAAAGGCACCAGGTCTACACTGGGAAGCTGCAGTTCAGGACGTAGTCGCCACAGCTGCGGGCTACAAAGACTGGTTTCCGAGGAACACGACTATGCGACTGTCAGCACGAGTGTTCTCAGAGGGCAGAGCAAATTGCCCCCCTCCCTTCCCTTAACTGAAGGGTGTCACCCGTCATCCACACCGAGAGCCTGGCCCAACACCAGAATAACCGGCCGGGTGCCCTTGATGATCTCTTCGGAATGGGCCATTTCTAAGTCTGTGTCATTTCCCAACAGGATAATTATGATAATTAGATGGAGAGAAAGTTCCTGAAGGATTAAGACCAGAAATTAGGTTACTTTGAAAGAAAGTCACGAGTAAACTCACCCAGACTGGATGAGACCCACCATCTTTTCAAGGGGCTGTACTCTTGCCCATAACTCCAGGGCTAGGGTTCACTGGGACCCCCAAATGTCACGCAAGATAGAAATGCAGGGAGGCAGAAAAGGAACATAATCCTAACTTGAAAGCTGTACTACAATCACCCATGTAGTTCTTAGTCCAAAGAGACTATGTTTTCAGAGAAAGAAGTGGTCACAGAAAGGTCAGAATGCTTCTTGTCCTTGGTTGTTGTCATCCAGGGTCAGAGGCTCTGGACGTGAACTTGAGGCCAACAGGCAGAAACCAACTCATGGTAGAAGTGGATGCATCGGGCTTTCCCTCCAGTTCAAGACTTGGGGGCTCCCACTCCCCTGCCAGCTCTAACCTCACTTGGCGGCTCCTATGGTCCTGAGTGTCCTTCCCAGAGGGACGCTTCCTAAGAAACTTCTGCAATTCAGTACAGCATATGGGTGGAAAAGTGCCTGAGTCAAAAGCATGCAGTTGGGAGTGAGTTCTCAGTGGAACCCCCACCCGGATCAGAAAACAGAACACAAAAGCTTCCCAGAACCCCCTTCCTTCCAGCCCCCTGTGGGTGGCCATGGTGCAGATGAGGCGTGCTGTGGGCTGCTTATGTTTGTAAATGGCACGCTGCTCTTCCGTGTCTGTCCTCTTGTCATCACCACAGTTGTAACGTTCACCGTGCCGTGCCGTGTGCGGCCGTGGTTTCTCATGCCCACAGGGTGTTTCCACCTGATTAACCCACTTGGCCCCTTCCCCATGCCACCTCTGCGTCTGACTGCGTCTCTGTTGGGTGCACACCTGGCGGCGGGGTTCCTGGGTCGGGGTGGCAGAGGGTCAGCGCTAGTAGACAACACCAAGCAACTTTCCAGAGGTAGTGCCTAAGTGGGCCACTGCGGCGTTTCCCCCCAGTCCAGTCGCTTCATGTTCTGGCTGACACGTAGCGTTCCCAGCCTTCTTCCTCTGAGCTGCTGTGGCACATGTGTCACCAGTTCTCACTGTGGGTTTTTTGCCACTGTCATAAAGCCCAAGGAAACCGTGCGTCTTCTCACATAATTATTGGTCTTCAGGTGTAAGTGTGCACGTGTGTATATGTCATGTTGGTGTGTGCATGTTGCTTTTTTCTTTTTGTCCTTCCCCCAGTTCCACTGAGCAATCTTGTTGACTTTCTTGTTCTTCATCTGCTCTGGACATGGGTCCCCTACTGGGTGGGCTCTGCTACCAATGTCATCACTCCTTGGCTTGCCTTCCTGCTCTCTTAGTGGATCTAATGCAGCTGATTCATCAGTCTTTCCTCATGGGTAGGGTTTTGCCCTCATCATTCCTCACCGATCTCCTAACTTAGTCTTGAAGCTTCTAGAAACTTCTCCCATCACGTGATATTCACTATGCATGGTGTGAAGTAAGAGGATTCACTTCTTTTCCATGTGGATCCAGTTCACCAAACTCCTTTTGTTGACAAGGCCACCAGTTCCCCACCACCAGGCAGTGTCCCTTTTATTATAAATCTCGCACCCGTGCACATGTGTCTGCCCGGAGCTTTCAGTTCTGTCCTGTGAATCAGTTCATCAACTTCTGTGCCCAGCTCATGCTCTCCCAGCAACTGGGTTTTACAGGAAGTCTTATGTCCAGCATGTAAGTCCCGAGTAATCACCACTCCTGCCCCCTTGCCCTCTCTGGGTGGTCCCAGCTGGTCCCAGCTCTCTCCTTTCCACCTAGAAAAGCTGCTCAGTTTTTATGTCATTACCTCTATAACATGATCTGATATCTTCGTAGTGATAATGGAGCCCTCCAGTTCACAAATATGGTATACCCTTCTGTTTGTCTGGTCCTTCTTTAAATTCTATAAATAATGTTTTCTGTTTTCTGTGTGAGGTACTGTACTGCATACCACTTGACGGGCTCATTAGCGGGAATTCAGTGTTCTTCTATCCTGCCGTAGATGGTTAGTATTTTCCCCTGTATAGTTTTGATGAAAGGAAATGACCATGCTGACCTCTGAGCACTGGATAGTCATAGTTCCCACGGCAAGTCAATAAACAGGCACCGTCATTCAGTTATTCTCTTGTGAGCTTTAGTGGGTGATCCCACACTTGGTAGAATCCCAGAAGGTGGGTGTCCCTGGATGCCCTGGTCGTGTCTTCCCACACCTTAGTTAATTAGCGGATGAACATGCAAGAGGGGGTCTGTGGCTTAACCAAAACAGGAGACAGACCAGCCGGGGCCGGGGGGTATAATAAAACTGGAAAAGATCATTCTGACTCAGACAAATTTGAAGACATATCAAATGTGAATACTTTTTAGGTTGGGGACTAAGGGCATAATAATTAGCGTGGCATGTCTGGCTGCCTTTGGTCTCCCTTAATTTCCCAGAGTCTGCTCCCTACAAAGCAAGGTCAAGCAAAACAAACAGTGGGGAAATGTGACAGAGTGGAGAGAGTAATATAGCCATTGTCCCAATAGTGGGGCAAAAAGCAAATAGTGGGAAAACAGACACAGCTTTGACCAAGTCAAACCAGCCTTCGTTTTAGCTCTAAACCATCATTTATGGAGCTAAGAACAAAATCATTACCAATTTTTACAAACCTCATTCCAGCAGTTGTCATCTTTACTTTTTGTGCAAATTGCGTACACATCTGTCAACTAGCCTGTGGGACTCGTACCTGCTCCAAGTGCCCTCCCCCCGGTTCACATGGGCACAGCTTTCCCCCAACTGCTGGCCTTTGAGAGAATGGACCACCTCTTGGATCGGTAAATATCGATGGCATCTGAATCCCACTTGCTCATCGCAAAGACTCCTGAACCTGAACACACTGTAGTAATCGGGTCCCAACTTTTGTTAAGTATTATGCACAAGAAGCTCACAACAGCACAAATCTATTCTAATATTTTCCCAAAGTATTTTGCATAGAGACAATGCCTGATTTACTGGCATTTGGATACAATTTCCTTATAATAAAAGGCAAAACTTTATTTTACATGTAACACTTGCTGTAAAATCACCAAGCTCCAAGAAAACCAAGAATCCAGGGTGTAAGTTTAGACCTGGGTCTGGAGCTGCCCCTCAGGACACATGCATTTATCCCCGAAGCCACCCCCCCCCCAGATTCTGGCTGAAGGCAGGCAGCTCTGGGTGTATGTGGAGAATACAAAGGGCAGTTCAGCAGTGACAGGAGCTGAAGAGAATTCTGAGCAGGGAAAAGGGAGACCAGACCGTGTTTTCCTAGATTTAGACCTTGCACAAGCAATTAGGGAGACAAAAACAAGCTTTTATCATTTGGGGGCTGGAATCCTATTGTGTCCATAGCCTGGCTCGGCTATCAGGGGGTCCCTGAGCTCTGTGCTGTGTGAGGGGGCTCTACGGCCAGAGAGCCGGGCAAGCTCGGCCCCCCTGAGAGCACGTGCGGAAGGCCAAAGTGGGGAGGAAGGGCCTCCGGCCGCCGCTCCCGCTGCTCATCTGTCTGGGGTGGCCGAGGCCTTCCTCACCACTTCAGATCTCCTGACATCTGCCCCACAGTCTTCAGGAGGTGGAGATGGACACAAGGACACAGTGACAGACCCCTATCGTCACCTGCCAGGAGCAGCCAGTGGGCAGTCTCCCCTGCAGCAGGGGTGGTGGTGGGGACGCCTCCCCCTGACTGTCCCCAGGCGGCTGAGGCTCTGCCCAGTGCTCAGCACGTGGAGGAGGAACAGGAGGCTCTGAGGTGAGGCTCTACCCACCGGTCTTGCAGGGCAGCCCCCGCAGTGCCTCTTGGAGGTCAGGCCCACCGCACTTCCTCTGCTGGCCACACTGCTGGTCCTACCTGTGGGGTCCTTGCCGGGGCCACGCCTCCCTGCGCTGCAGGGGCTGATCCGGGCCATGCGGTAGGCCCGAGGGGTTGGCCTGTAGACGAGCCAGCGGCAGGGAAGAGGCCGGTCTGGGTGGTGTGTCAGCCATTTGGTCCCGGGTTCGGGTGGGAGAAAAGGATGTAGAGGAGTTGCGACTCAGAGTCATCTGCACAGTGACAGCCGCTTCAGTTTCCAAGAAGGCTCAAAGTGACAGTTTTCATGGAAATCAGGTCAAATGTTCAGTCAGCTTCAGAGGCCTCAGGACAACTGGAATTTTCACATGTTGGGGACCCACATTCTCTGATCTTGGCTCCCACCGCCCTGGCTCCTGGGCACCCTCTGGGTCTTCCACCCATCCAGAGAGATTTCCATTATTGACTCCACGTACCGCCTCCCAGCTTCGTTCATCACTGGGCTCTGATCCCGGATCCCGCACACATTTCCTCTCTGCTGGAAGGTGCCTCCACCACTGGAGGCGGGAGACCGGGCCCGTGGAGCACTGGCCACGCCCAGCCTGGGACTGCCTGCCGTGGGTGGCCCCGAGAGTCTGGCCAGCGTCTCAGCGGGCAGTTTTCTGCTGGCTAGCCCTGGCCTGGGCACCTCGGTGACCTCGCCACCACCCAGGGGCCATGGCCTCCCCCTCCCCCATGAGGGTGTCTCCAGAATGTGCCCAGCCTCCTGTGGGCTCTGCCCTCTGTGCCCCCGTGTTACTAATTAATGCTTACGCTAAATTCGCATCAATTTTTATATTAAGCCATTCAAATCCTTTCACAGTTTCTGCCTCCGAGCAGGACCCTGACTGACAGACACACTGTACACTTGATTTTCCAAAGTTGTATTCTGTTCTTTCTCTAACTGCCTACTTGTACATTGCATGGAGTGTGTTCATAATTTTGCACGGTGAGCCCCTCTTCAGAGTATCTTTATGGGAATGGCTGTGGTTCTGCTGCTGAAGGGTCACATTTGTGTTTCCCTGGGGCCCCGCGATCTCATCTGTCCACCACTAGCTCTGGACTCAGGGGCCTGCACTGTGCAAGGGTGTAACTTTGGATTTGGACTTCAAACTCAAGCCTTGGATTTCTCATGAGCAACTTCTTTCCTTCCCAGAGCCCCGGCAGAGAAGTTTCCTTTGCCCTCCCTGGGTCATGAGGGGGTGTTTTAGTGCACCCTTTTCTTGAAGGAGGATCTCAGTGTTTGATGGGTCTCAACCCCAGAGCCCTGTCCCAATGTCTGGAATCACCCAGCCTGGGCAGGCCTGGGGCAATGGACCAAAAATCCTCTGTGGATCAATAAGGGCATTTCCAGAACACGCTATTTCCTGAATGTGCCCCAAATCTGGGGTCCCAGACAGTGATGCTGCGGCAAGCAAAGGTGCTCGCCGGCCCTCATCCAAATGTGAGATGCGCAGTTGGGGGCACAGCCAGCAAAATTCACTGTTCTGTTCACTTGTGACACCCTGCACACCGTCACATCTCTTGCACAACCCCACGCCCCAGACAACACCGGGACGTAAAAATCCTTACCTGCTAAAAGCTCTGTGGTAAGAAAAGCCCAATTTTGCAGATGTTTAAGGCTGGAAGACAGTAAGCACGTGCAAGACAGTGGGACCCGCCACATGGCAGGTCAAAGAGCTGTGTTTACCTGGTGGAAGCCCAGATAGTCCACGATTGTTGCTGAAGCATAAAATATCATGCCTTCTGCACTCACGACCAGGGCAAAGCCATCGAGAGACTAGAAGAGACAAGAACTCGAATTGGCTCCTGCATACATTCTCAAAATCCTCACAATGAGAAAGTGCAAGCATTATTTTTGCTGCATTTTCAACCATTTCTCTTGTTTTGAGGTCCATATTCATAACCTCCAGAAATACCCACTTTTAAATTATGAGTATTTTGCAACAGGTCCCAAGTTAGCAGACGACAGGGGATCTTGGTCATGGTTTATAAGCCACAAGACTGTTCTTCGTTTTCTAGTGATATAAAACTCTTGTTTTATAAAATACAAAAATCTTCATGATGAGATGAGACTCCACCAGTATCTGGGACAGAAGAGAAACCTCACTTCCCCAATGCAGACTTTCCCTGCTCACGCACTTTCTTCCAGCCTATGTTCTGGCTTTCCCAAGAGTTTTTATCATGAAAAAATGTTGAACTCCATCAAGTACTATTTCTACATCTACTGAAATAATCACATAAAATTTCTTTTGTTTATTAGTATGGTGACTTTGGTGATAGGTTTCTGATGATAAATCGTTCTTGTGTGTTATGGGGTTAGCCTTATCATAATTTTAAATATGTTCTTGGGACTGATAAATTTCACTTAGGAGATACCCATCTATATTTAAGGAAAAGGTAGCCTATGAGCATCTCTGCTTATTTTCGTGGGAGATCACCAGAAATGAGTCAGACCCCCCCTTCCTCTTTCCCATTTTTAAGGCAAGGTTAGCCTTCTCTCTGGAAGTTTTCTCTTTGAAAGTTTCCACTTCCACAAGCATCCGGCTTGGGCACATTTTGAGGAGAGGGCAAGTGAAAAGGGGCAGATTTTAGCACCATGTCAATTTATGTAATGGTTATTAGTGTATCCAGGTTTTTAATTTTTTTGTATATCAGTTACAGCTTCTTAAAATATTTTCCATCAGTGCATCCATTTCCTCTTGATTTTAAATTTGCTACCATATGTTATTCACAATATTTTTATGATTATTAAATCTCAGTTATACCCATAATTTTTGGGTGCATGTGTGTAGAATTAGGGTACATGGCTGTGCTGTGGCTGACTTCAAGTCTTTATTTGAAAAGCAAGCTTGGCAGCCCTGTCCTGCAGGAGCTTCCAGAACCACCGGTAGTGAGGGTGCACAGGGAAGCAGCCGCTGGACTGCATGGTTAGTGAGCACTCCAACCATCTCTCTCTCTATCCACCCGTCTATTCTCTTCTTCCTCCTCCTCACCATCATCACTGTCATGATATATAAATTGACAGTTCACGCTGCGTAGGTCCTCATGAGTGGCAGGTGCCCTACGTGGGGTACCTCATTCAATTCCATGTCACCTCCATGGGGCGGGAGGTGGCGATGCTACTCGGTCAGTGCAGAAGCTGGAGGGGAGGGAGGCACTGGCAGTGGAGTTCATAAATATTTCAATTTGTGTCTTTAAAATATAGACGTTTAGAGACTCTAAATTAACTTCTGTAAGTTTGTGGTTACTAGCAATGTATCCCAATACTCATTTCCCTTAATTATGGACCATGTGGGATACTTTTTCTTTTTTCTTTCTTTCTTTTTAAATTTTTGCCATTTTGTTAAGTGGTAAATTTTTTACCATTATTATCATTTTCATTTCTTTGACTACTAATGCAATGGATATTAATGAGACCTTATACATTTACTGTTAATCTGTAGTTCTTTGGCAAACTGCCCATGCATATCATGTGCTAATTATTCTGTTAAGGTTTATAAATATCAATTTCTGAGAGTTTTTAAATTACTGATATTGAAGGTTTCTAGACATTCTAGGAAAATGGCAACCACTTAAACCCAAATACCCTCACCTCTAAATGATGGAAAACAGCACGACCGTGTGTAATTACACACATCTGTGCCCTTGTCATGAGTCACGATGAGAACACAGGGAGCTAGTAACTCCCAAGCACAGATGAGCAGAGAAGCCAGTACCCAGTGAGCTATGGAAGGGAGAAAGTGTGTGTTCTCCTAATGAAACTCGAGGAAAGAGCCAATTGAATCCAATGTAAGTGGAAGAAAAAAGATTTTAAAAAAGTGAAAAAAACCCACAATGATATTGTTTAAAACTGCCAAATAATAAACATCATCAACAAAGTCAATTTGGTTCTTTGAAAAGATTAATAAATAGATAAACCCCTAGCAAATTTGGTCAAGAAATAAACAAATTACACCAGAGATTTAAAATCATTACAGGTCCTTCAGACATTAAAAGGTTAGTAAAAAATATTAAGAATGAAATTCAATAAATTAAGCAATTTAAGTGAAATGGACAAATTCTCTAAAACACACTAACAAAAGTGATACAAGAATGACTAGAAGGGGCACATGGTTGGCTCAGTCAGTTAAGCATCCAACTCTTGGTTTTGGCTCAGGTCATGATCTCAGGGTCGTGAGATTGAGTCCTGCATTGGGCTCTGCACTGGGCATGGACCCTGCTTGAGATTCTTTCTCTTTCTCTCTCCCTCTGCCCCCCACCCCGTGTGCTCACCCATCTCTCTTTCAAAAAAAAAAAAAAAAGGGAACAACTAGAAAAACCAAATAGCCCAATATCTATTAGACAAATTGAATTTGTTTTTTTTTAAAAGATTTTATTTACTTATTTGAGAGAAAGAGAGCATGGAAACATGAAAATTGGGAGGAGCAGAGGGAGAGGGAGAATAAGACTCCCTGCTGAGTGGAGAATTTGATGAGGGGCTTGAAACCAGGACCCTGGGATCATGACCAGAGCTGACATTAGACACTTAACTGACTGAGCCACCCAGTCATCCCTAAACAAACTGAATTTGTAATAAAAACCTTCCCACAAAGAAAACTCTAGTCGCAGATCAGAAAACACAAAATGCCTAAGAACAAATCCAATAAAAGACATTCAGGACCCAAATAATCCAAGAGATATGCAGTGTTCTTGGATTGAAAGACCCCATGCAGGTAGAGAGCCAAGTTCCCTAAGTCAGTCTGTGGATGTGATGCCCAATCCCAATCTCGGGAAGGTTTCTTCTCTCAGCAGAAACCGCCAAGCTGGTTCTAGAGTTGGTGTGCGTAAAGGGCCCATTTTACTAAAGCAACCATGTTAAAGAAGAACAAAACGTTAGAACTTATGCTGGCTTTGTGACTTAGTGTACAGCTGTGGTAACCAGGTCAACATGGCGTCGTGTCTGGGACAGCTGGTTGTCTGCGTGGAAGAAATCGACGCTGACTCCTATCTAATTCCACAAAAATTAATTCAAGACATAGCTTAGGCCCAAAGATAAAACCCCATAATCATAAGGTTTCTAGAAGAAAACAAATTGTCTTCCTAAGTTGGGGATAGGCAGATTTGGATAGGACACAAAAACACTAGGCCTTCATGGAAAAACCCGGTAAGTTGGGCTTTATGAAAAGACACTATTTATTTATTTATTTATTTATTTATTTATTTAGATTTTTATTTATTTATCAGAGAGAGAGAGGGAGAGAGAGCGAGCACAGGCAGACAGAATGGCAGGCAGAGGCAGAGGGAGAAGCAGGCTCCCTGCCAAGCAAGGAGCCCGATGTGGGACTCGATCCCAGGATGCTGGGATCATGACCTGAGCCGGAGGCAGCTGCTTAACCAACTGAGCCACCCAGGCGTCCCGAAAAGACACTATTTAAAAATGAAAAAGGACAAGCTACAAACCAAGAAAACAGTATTCATAGTATATAGACAAAGGACTCTATCAAGAATACATAAAGAATGTCTATAAATCAATCGTAAAAAGGTGAACAACCCAATATTTTTTTAAATAGGCAAAAGTCGTGAACAAACCCTTTATTACAGAGATGGAAGAAGGGCCTGTCTACAGATGGAAATTCGTCAGCATCACTAGTCATCAGGGAAGCAGAATGGAAATCACATGAAGACACCATTTCATACACACTGGTATGGTCACAATCAAGAAAACAGACAGCACTACACGTTGGTAAAGATATGAAGCATCACTGGTAAGAACATAAAAGGCGGCAATCTCGTTTTGGGAAACTGTTGTGTGATTCCTCATAAAAACAAACGTGCATCTCTCCTGTGAGCGAAATGAAATGGGTGTGTTCCCAGAAACACGCGAACAAGAATGTTCATGGTGGCCTTATGCACAGTAGCCAAACTCTGGAAATAACCCAGCACCTACCAACCAGGGAATGAACACCGGAGTAACCCTAGTGCGGGAATTAGCACAGAGGCGAGCACCCAGCTGATCGCGGGGCCTGGGCGTCTGCTAACATGGAGCCAAGAGCGGGCCCGGCAAACCGATGGGACAAATACCGGAAAGCGGTTCCTTGGCAGTGGCCGATGGGAACAAATTAAATGGAAGTTGGGAAAGACGTCTATACAAATACGTTTGAAAACCTAAATAAGTATATGTTTTCCTAGGAAAATGTGATTTACCAGAAGGGACTCATGAAAGACAGAACCTTAAACAATTGATTTCTGTAGAAGAAACAGGAGAAGTTACCAAGGAGCCAGCCCACAAGAATGCACCAGGCCCGGATGGTTTTGAGAGCTAATTCCACCAAGTGTTAAAGATCAGATCACATCACTGCCCATAAATTGGCCAAGAGCGTAGAAAATGAGGGAAATTTTCTAATTATTTTTAGAACTATATCATTGACACTTAACTCTGATAAGGAAAATATAATAAAAATAAAATTACAGACCTTTCATTATTAATGAGAACGTGCAAATGAAATATTAGCACACAGACTCCAGTTTCGTATCAAGGAAATATGATGGCCATGACCAAGTAGATGTATTCCAGGGATGCAAGGCTGACTCAACATTAGGAAATCCGTTAGCATGACACATCACATGTACAGATCTAAGGGTAAAAGCCTTGTAATTATGTCCATAGATGGTAAAAAAAAAAAAAAAAGCTTTCCACAAAATTCAACACTTATTCTTTATAATAAAGAATTTATTCCTATAAATGTATAAAGAATTTATTCCTATAAATTCCTATAATTCCTGTACATTATTGGCATT